TTTGGATGTTAAACTAAGGTTTTCATTTAGTGGATTTCAAAACTTTTGCTCAAATGTCACACTAAAATTTTCATTTAGTGGATCTCCAAAAGTTTTCTTGGATGTCACACTAAGATTTTTATTTAGTGGATCTCTAAAATTTTGCTTGGATGTCATACTAAGAATTTAACTTAGTGGATCCCCAAAAGTTTACTTTGATGTCACACTAAGATTTTTATTCTGTAGATCTCCAAGAGTCCATCTCTATGCCTTCATGAATCTTTAGATGCATTTGTAATCTTAAGTATAGCTGATATATTTGCTCCTGGTAAAGAGAGATCTATGGGATAGTGATAGAATACTTTATACTCAAATCCCTAGAGTGTTACCTCATAGATTGAAGATAATAGGTAGCATCGTCACCCTGTGCTATTCTTTTGCACCACTTTCTTTTTGGTTTTCAGCATTTTTAGAACTGCCCAACATTTTCGATGTCATAATCATATATAGATGTAATATTTATGTTGTATATTACTGATATGTTTTAAGATCTATCTGAATTTTGAAGATTCATAAGGAGGTGGGGCTTTTTATCTCTAATATGGATTATATCTTGCTCAAATTATACCTTTTGCTGATGGCACATTTAATTTATTAAGGATCTTCTATTCTTCCCTCCTTTAACTGCATTTTGACAAAAAAATTTAAATATTTATTTGGGGATCTTGGTACACAGCGTGATGTCGACCCAAATAAATATTTAAAATGCCCCCAATTTTTAGAGATACTTGTAAAAATTATTTAGGATATTTCTTTTCATAGCATAAGCTTTGAGTCATGAGAATTTAGTTCTTTCTACCATGTGCTTTCTACTGCATACATTTGGGCGATTACCTTATTTATCTTTACTAACTTTTCAAGTGATTTATATATCTTATGCTCAATGCTTCTTTCTTTGGCGGGCTTAACAAAGGAGTAGATTTTGATGACCTAAACTCTTTAGACTTGTATTAGTTCGGTGGCGAGAAGTCATCAGTACAGAGCTTTGTACATATAGGACTTGTTGATGACAAAATCCTCTTAGTTCAATCTTAGGCTTTGTGTGAACTATAGGATATTTTCTTCAGTCCTTTGCTTTATACTTTGATGGACTTGTTAAAGAAAAGTTCCTTCGATCTTCTATTTGTGCTTTATGGATTTGTTGAAGGATTTGCAGGTTTTGGATTCGATTTATACTACCAAATGTGGGTAGTATCTTGATCCTTAACTACTTGAGGAGACTTTAATCTAAGTCACTTGAGTTCATCAGATTAGGAGAGCTAGGAGCTCTTTGTCCTCTAGTTGCTGAGATGGGGGTTCCTCTACTACAGCCTTTCTTATGGCGTGTTGAGTAGATGGAGCTGCCAACAATCAGGACATATTTAGAGTTGTTGGATCTGACATCTTACACACATTCATGTTTTAGACTTAAGCTATAGAAAATGCGCTTCCCAATACTAAATCTACTGAAGTTGATATATTTGGACTTCTCCTTTGTGGTTAAAGATTTAGAGCCTACATATATTAGGTAGTTATTCGTGACTCCTCCTTCCCATTAAAACATTTGTTCTCCAGCTAATTAGGAAAACTTAGTAGATTACGATCACTTAAACTTATCGAATCAATTTAGCCTTTGTAATTCCTACAGTCCCTATTAACGGGTTAACGAAGTGGGGTTATGCTACTATGGCCTTTCTTATGGCGTGTTGAGTAGACGGAGCTGCCATATTTGGACGTGTTAGATTCGACCTTTTACACCCATTCAAATTTTAAGCTTTAATCTATTCAAAAACATTAAGCTAATCTAGCCCAATTTGTTTGAGTGTGTAGTCACAAAAATCTCTTTCTTAACTTTTAAGTCTTTGTACGTTGGAGAAGATGGTGTCTTGAACTTTTAGAAGATTATACAGTTCAAGAAGATTATATGTATGTACTTTAAAAAAATTCATTGTATTCTCCATCAAAAAAGAATATTTGTATTAATAATTTTAAATATTTATTCGGGGATCTCAGCATACAATGTAATGCCGACTCAAATAAATATTTAAAAATCCTCCATGTCTCGTAGGGACATTTTAAAGTAGAATAAATATGAAATTTTGAGTTTTAAAATATTTATTTATAGATCTCAACATCTAGTATGATGTTAACCCAAATAAATATTTAGAATGCCCCTATCTTATAGAGAGATTTTGAATAGGCTTTGTATTTTGAGATTTTAAATATTTGTTCAGGAATTCCACACACGGTGAGATGTCAACTCAAATAAATATTTAAAATGCCCCCAATCTTATGGGAGGATTTTTTGTGAGATTTTTTAAATGCATTCTTAAAATACAAGAGAATTTCAAAATATGAAATGTATGTGCTAATAAACATATATGAAAATATAACACATTAAGCATAACATTTTCTCAGGCAATTTTATGCATAATATTTCTTCAGGTATTGTCCATTGATTGGCATCATGAGCCTCTGACCGTCCAGATCAATCAACTGATAAACTCTACTCTGAAACACCTTCTTGATGACAAAGGGGCCCTTCCAGTTAGATATAAATTTGCCATCAATTTTTTGATGATGGATGATTTGTCTTCTAGGTACCATGAATAATTTCCCTTTCTAGAATCCACATGAATGCAATATCCGATCAAAGGATTTTGTCATTTCCTTTAGATAGATTTCCAGGTTTTATTGAACTTGGTAAGGATTCCAATGGCAATCGTACAAGTGATCATATGATATGGCAAAACCTACTTCAAAGCCTAAGGCAAAATCATCGAGGAAAAAAAAATATCAAGGATTCCATACCAACGTCTTTTTGAAGGCCTCCTCCATGTCATTTTCTCTTGGATTATATATTGATGAGTGCTGCCAATCGATCTTATGCCAATCAATGAACTTATAAATTTTTGCACGCTTGAATGCAATACCGTTGTCTAAGATTATACGGCATGGTACACCAAATTTATAGAAAATATTGTGGGTAAATAAATTGATCACATACTTGAATGTAACTTCTTTAAATGGAGCTACTTCTGCCCACTTCGAGAAGTAGTCAATTACTGCCATAATAAAGTGGTGCCCCGCTAAAGATGGAGGATCTATCAGCCCGATTATATATGTGCCTCAGCATTTAAATGGGCAGGACACTACTATGGGGTATAATCGACTACGGGAATAAGGGATTTCAGTTTGTTGTTGGAGTTGGGTGGATGAGGCGTCGGGTAGAGGTAGGGAGAAAGCTCTCTCTCTCTCTCTCTCTCTCTCTCTCTCTCTCTCTCTCTCTCTCTCTGTGGACCAAAAGAAACAAGGGGATAGGAATGAAAGGAGATCGACAAAAGCTTGTGGGATTTCGTAGAGAGATGAAGCAGATGAGGTCCTTCTCATTTTATGGACGCCAACTAGAGCGAGAGATGAGATTTGTGCATGCTCTGTCCGAAATGGCTCCGTTGCAGAGGTATGGGTGACCTCATCTCTCGCCAACGAGAGCGTGAAGATTTGTGCTGGATTTAGTATAGGGATTTGGCTGAGGTATGGGTAAGGCTTTCAGGTAATGATTTACACATTTTTTTTCTTTTTTTTCTATTGTATCATGTTATGTAGGTCAACATAAAACTGTAAAAATCTATAGTGGGTTGTTCACGGCTAACATACATAATATCTAAAACTCATAGTTATAAATATTATTGTTTCATATAATTCTAAAAAAAGGAAATGGTTGGGCCTTACCCCCAATAAAAATTGTTCCTATGTAAGAAATTGAAGATTGTCACGATTCATGAAGATGATTTGCTAAGAACACCATTAGTTTGAGGTAAGGGAAGATTTGTCACTCTATCCAACGGATTGAAATAGCTTAACCTATAAGAGACAATTGATTCTAGGTAGAAGTATCGATAAGAGGTGGTGGAAGTGGAGGAACCTCAACTTGCTCTCAAGATGTGAGCTACTGCATGAGAGTAATTGAGCTAAAAATCCTTAATGCACTTTAAAACCTTAATTGTATTTGAATAATCATCATCATTCAATTAATCAATGATGGTTGGATAGTTTTCCATAGCTGATTCCAAACTATTGCACGTAAGCGTCGAGCTAGTAGAGAGGACGAATTGATTGTCTCAATTATTTTTGATAGCACATACATACAATAAGTCAAGTGAATAGAGCGTAAGAAAGAATCATTTATAAAAAAAACATAGAAAAGAGAGATTATAGAGCCTACAAATAGTTTCCATTATTATTGAAAAGCGATTACAAAGTACCTTCCTCTTATTTAATCAAAGTTTTTCAATACAAAAGGATATTCAGCTATTATAGGTAACCAAGCAGTACACATACAAGGTCAGCAAGATTGTTTGTTTTAAGAAACATTAAGAAAATCTTCACAAATGAAACCTAAAAGTGATCTATAATAGCTTGTTAGCAATCCATGTAGTTTGTAGATGTTTGAAAGCCTCCGACATTTAAAATGCTTCAAATGAATTAAATTGACTATTATTAGAGGGTCACTCCTGAGCATACTAAATTATCCCCTATAGTTATGAAAATGAACAATGCATGTCACACTGATTGCATTTGAAGTGATCTAGTATCAAAGTGAACGCGAGCAACCAATAATAGTGATATAGTGCTGTATCCACAACTTAGATACGCTATCTTACAATTTTTTATAGCAAGAGTCCAATAATAGTAATGAAAATACTGATTTCATTTAGAACAGCTTTTGATCAAAAAAAAAATCTTCTAGAAAGCTACTACAGAAAGTAAGAAAACTATTCCAAACGAAATCTTTATTGTCCACTTGGCATGAATAATTTTGAGTGTGATTGCATTCAAATTTAATTCGCTAGAAAATGATGATAATGACATTTTTTACATAAAAGCTCAGTCTCTTTAAGAGCAATCACTTGCCGCAAATTGCTTGTGAAATAGGATTTCATGGAGATTGTCGTGGCTACAGAAATAGTTTTCAGTTAATCTACATAATAACGAGCGTGTGTGAGAGTGATAAGACAGCAATGGCTTACTCCAACTTGAACAAAAGGTTTTTCACACACTTGGAATTTACATTCACAAGGTATGGTTTCTTTGCCTCTTTTTCAGAAGCATTGAATATCAGTGCTTTTACATATGTACAAAAGTCAAACTTTACAATGCACAGCAACATCAAAACTCTACACCACTATTGAGCTGAATTGAAAGAGATGACCTGGCAACGCCATTGAGAGGGGTCTCCAATCTGATAATTATTCCGGAGCTCCCTACATTGTCATTCCATTTTGATCTCCCAATCTACAATTATAAAAGATGAAATAGTTGCTCATTTCAGCTCTGCTGAAAAGAATGGTTCATTTTTAAGTTGTAATATAAACAGATTTTAAGCGTAGGAACTCATGAGGCCATTTTGAAGAATAATTTAAAAGATAAAAGATGGAAGTATATTTCTGTATCCTTATTTTCATGTGCAAAATAAGTTAGTTCTAAGCGTTTTCTCACACAATTTTGAAAAGTTGCAAGTAAATTAGCAAAGCCAATGATCGTGCAACTTACAGCAAGTGAAGCAAATGCCGAAGAGTGAGAAGCACAACAAAATCCACAGATAAGGCTGAGTTTCTCTTTCAGAGATTGGATCAGCTCTGCGCGCAGCCCGGGATTGCTTCCGCCAACAGTCGGGCACAGGCTATGAATGGATTAAAAAATCATTTAAGAGCAATTAGTCAGAAGTTAAAGCAGCAGAAACTGTACAACGTGCTAGTACAATTACAACAACCACGAAAAAAAGCTTTCAACTTCAGAAAGAGAATTTGGATGTGTTAGAAACTTTTCAAGTATTCAAAACTTATATAAAATAAGTCAAATTCCTGAACTGTTGTAAATTCACCCCAAACTAAGCTTTTCTTATGGATCTAGCAAGTAATGATCAAGGAGGCACTGAGGCAGCTATAAGTCAAGATAATTATTAATCTATAAAAGATGCAAATAAAATGTAGCTTCAGAATTAGGAAATTAAAATGTGGAAAAAACCCCAACCCCCAAAGGATAGAAATATCAAGAGATGAGATAATTCGCTACATGGTTCCTGAAGCCACTTGACAAACTAGATCTTCAGTTTTGGCAACATTGAAACTCACCAATCACTTGTCCAAATTATGAACAATTCAAAAAGAACAAAAAGTAAGCATAAAAGGAAATAATAATGCGACACCATCAATATTCTTAAAGATTCTTATTTCAAATCAAGAGCTTCACATCTACGAATAAATATAAATTCGTTTCATCTAAAATTTTTTTTTTTTCTCTTTTTTTCTTCCCTCTACATCACAGAAAGCAAAAGGGGAAGATTAATTTTATATCCAAGATAGAATATCCTTGGGAACCCCTATCTTACTGAAATCATATAAGTAGGCCCAAGGGATTTTGTGAAATATAAAAATAAACCAACCACAGCATAGGTATGAAATCGTTGAAGCTCCTCCCAATAGTACTAGGATTTGTTAAATGGAAAATCGATCCTCCACTTGGCAAGATATCTGAGAAATCCACTATCATGCATGGAATTTTGAATTTGAATCAAAGATCGGAAATCACGCAAAAAAATAGGATCAATTTAGTTAGATCATATATAGCTTGGACTGATAGTAAAGTGATGACTAATATGACAAACCCGATGGGATTTGAACTTAAATCTAAGTGTTGAATAAGCCAAACTGGTTGGAATGAAACAAACTTGAATGGAACTCAAATCGAATAAATGCATCCAAGCATGCATACAGGATTAGTGGCTAAGAAATTGACAAAGCTCACATGAAATGATAGAAACAAAGTTTAAACTACAAGCAAAACCACTTTGTCAAGGAAAGATGGAAGCATGACTTGACAACTGTCCTCAAACAGTAACCTGAGTGCTAAGAAATGCTTGAAAGCTTAAAAATACTTTTGACACAAATTCAGATATGTGCCTCCGCATCAAGTACTATCAACACAACCATGAGTACTAGCAACACAACCATCTACCATCAACATTTTTTCGTCCAAACAAAAAGAATAATTAGCATAAATACAATAAGGTGCTAAAACATTCCATACATAATACTCACGTTGCTGCAAACAATTGTACGTTCTCAAATTCATTCTTAAAAAACAATAATGAAGATAGTGGACAAGGACTATTAAAACAACATAATATAACAATTCCTTGTTCACAAATAGAATGAGTAAGAGAATAACCTGAGCTGGATGCTCGGTCTCACCATGAGACCCGATCTCTTCCAAGCAAGAGTTTGTACAAGTCCAAGTGAGAAGGACTTATCAGGCCACTGCACCATTGGGGTTATCCGTGTACCACATTTGCTCTGCAGAAGAGGAATATTAAAAAAACTTGAATTTAACCAAGTTTTGATAAAAAGATTCAGTCTTTGATTTTCCTCACACATAAACAAATGTGATTAACAGCATTTAAGAGCAAAGGGGTGACAAAAAAAAATGGAAATTACTAACAGATCCTTCAACTTTGGCCAAAACTAACAATTCCACAAAACTTGAATTATGGAGGTCAACCTTAGAGCCTAAAGGTTCTCATTTGAGTAGATCTCAAATCAAATACATACAGTGTAATTTTAATAGTATTAGATCTAATGGGGGCTTGTAATTTTGAGTGATCAAGTCATTAACAAGAATACACATTTTAGATATCTAGTGTCTATTGTTCAAAGTCATGGTAAAAAAGATGGGGATATTATTAGTAGATTTCAAGTTGGATGGTTGAAGTAGAGGAATGCATCGGGCTTGTTGTGTGATAGAAAAGTACCCTTCAAACTTAAGAGAAAATTCTATAAGATGGTGGTGAGAGTTGCACTACTTTATGGTGTAGAATGTTAGTCATTAAAAGAGAAGTATAAAAGTAAGTTAAGTGTTACAAATATAAGAATGCCCAGGTGGATGAGTGGTTTCACACTTTCACTCCTAGAGATAGAATAAGAAACGAGCATATACGTAAAATGGTTGGAGTCTAGGGTTTCTAATTTATGATTTACAAACCTTATCAAATTTATTTTGATGAGATTTTAAATAACTTACAAACTAACTGAAAGAATTGTTAGAAAAATAAGACCAACTAAACATTTCAAAAAATCAAGTTAATGTCCACCATAACAACATGGGAGCTAAATTTGCATGCAAGAACCGGATATTGAAACTAATTTTAATGAAAAACCAATTCACAATATTGTTAGGAGATGAAAACTACAAAATAACAAAAGTTTGACAAAACATCAGGTTTAACTAACAAATCGTCATAATGATGACATTTTGAATATCTTGAAAAATTAATTGAAAAATTGATAGAAAAATAAGTTTCCAAATATGAATTACAATAAATCAAGTTAATGAGTAAGTTAACAATTAAAATGCTAATCAAATTTAGCTACAAGAATTGGATCTTGAAGGAAGAACCCATTCACAATATTGTTAGGAAACCAAATATTCAACATGAAAGAAATAACAAAGATAAATGATAGAGAGAGAATACCAATGAAAATCATGACAACCATATACAACAACCTTACGATATGGGTGAAGGCATAACAGGAAAGATATAGTTGATGCAGCCACTTTTCACGAGAGAATAGATCCAAAGGCCTTTTTTAATTGAGTAAAGATATAACGTAACTACTTTCATTGGCAAATCATGTCGCAAATCCTGTCTGATGAATGATAAGATTTGTAAAACTAAAAAATAACTAGACATGCTAAAATGTACTGCATGGTTATGGAGAGACAAAAAGAATGGTTAGGACTAGAATCTACCACCACATTAGCTAAAATGAAATTGTTGTTAAAAGGAAAATACCCACATTTTGCCCTTTTCTGATCAACTACTTGATGCATTTAACTCATTGCAACAAGAAGTCAAGATTGTAATGCTTTCTAGGTTTAGATTTAGCTTATGACCTAAGCTTAATAGTGACAAAATTCGCCAACTCACATGCCAAAGTTTTTACTTTAAATGTGGTAAAGTTTTGCTATAAAAAATAGTTGATTAAATGTGAATTGTTATTTTTGTGAGCCTTCATTATGCACCTCATCTTAGACTGTATTAGTAAATCCAAGATCCTTAATTGGCCTGCATTAAGTTGGTATGAAAGCCCAAGTTGGCGTCAACATATTAAAGTAGATTAAATTATTAGGATCAATTAACAGGTCACTGTAAAGATAATGCTTTAGCTATTTTTGTAATAGCTAGAGAGTTTTTAGAAAAATTATTAACTAAGTGATGAAACAAACCAAATTAACAAATAACTTGATACATTGGAAACAAATCAAATATGTCCGCAAGAACCAAATAACAAATATGGCGGTAGCCAACGGTGGCCAGCTGTGGTGGCCATAGGCAACCGGCGGTGGTGGCGGGCGGCGATAATCAAGCAAGCTTTTTTGCGGTGTAAACTATTCTAGCTCAAAATTGGCCTAGTTCGAATTATCTCAAAAAATGAAATAGAATGATTTACACCACATTTAGTTTACTTTGGATTCCTTTTTCATCCAACCAAACACCAAATTGTCAAAATCCCATCATTTAGAATATTTTGCACCCTAAAGTATTCCAACCAAATAGCCCCTTAGTACATCTTCCTAACCAAACAGCCCCTTAGTACATCTACCTTCAATGGGAGAATCCATCCTAAATTTTTTTCTAAAATGGTAATGCATATGGACAAATTCTTTGATTGATCAAATGATGTCGAGTAAGTCATAAATAAAGATTGTGAAACTGAACTTACTGAATAAGCAAAAATGTATCTAATAGTTGCAGGGAGACAAAGGAACAAGTTAAAGTTAGGGTTAGAACCAACAACCTCATGGGTTGAAATGAATTTCCTACAAAAAGAACACTACTATCGATAGCCATTGCATCAAAATCCAAAATTTCTAGTATGGCTCATCTTAGAAGTTACCAAACTGGGCACTTGTTAGTAAGTGTACTAGTAAAAAATTGCACATTAATGTCAAAAAAAAAAAAATAATAACAAGGATGAAGAGAAGATATGCATAAATTCAATGAGGAAATAAGTGATATTAAGAATGCTTTGACTGAAAACTCTTTGAATGCCATGTGATGCATTAACGCACTACTGCTACGCATAAAGATCAGCTTGAGTGGAAAAGGGTTTTTAATCTTTCACTCATACTTCAAGCATGTGAAAACTATGAAAAATCATCATTGATAATGGAAGTTTCATGAATCTTGTTGATAATTCAGCCCTCAAACATATGAATTTAAAAGCTAAGAAACACCCACAATCTTACAAAGTAAATTGGGTGTAAAAAACTTCAAATGTATGCTACTCAAAGATGCTTGGTGCTCGTTCAATTTAATACTTATAGCAAAGAGGATAAGATCCGGTGTGAAGTATTATCTACGGATGTTGCAAAAGTCATTTTAGGTCAACCTTAGTCGTACAATTTAGGTATGACACATTTAAAGAAATTCAATACTTTCGTTTTTAAGGTTATTGATAGAAGTCATTTTGAGTAATATCAAATCTAAGAGTCCTTCATGTTACAAGAATCAATTTCATCTAATAAACTAAGGAAATCGCACATTATTTTGAACAAACATGCTTTTGAATTAAGATGGCAGAGTTGAAGGAGTAATATATGGCTTAACCAAGATATAATCGAGAGCACATCAGCACCTATGGTTGTTAGTTAAGGAACTATATCCTGATGAACTAACTGATAAATTAGAGCCAATAAAGGATATTCAACATGCCATTAATTTGATTCATGGATCATAATTAACTTACTCCACTATAGAATGAATATTGTTGAGCTAAAAATACAAGCAGAGGCAGATGAATGACTCAAGAAAGGATTTATTAGAGAAAGCACAAGTTCTTGTGTGGTGCCTGCCTTACTCACACTTAAGAAGGACCGGAGCTAGAAAAATGTATGTGAAAAGTTAAGCGAATGAATAGATATAAGGATGCTACATATGATGCTAGGCCTACAATTTTCTCCAAGATTGATTAAACTAGTTGCCATCAAATAAGGATGAGAGAAGCGGATTTACACCAAAAAATCGAAATCCTAGGCTAGCCTTTTTGGAGGACAAGAAGTGAGGCACCAGTAGAGTAGGCGTAGACTCCCAAGAAATAGATAAAAGAGAGGAAAAGAAAGGGAGGAAATCAGAAAATTTTCATTCATGCTATTTAAATACAATAGGGGCTATCTATACTACTTGGTTAGACCAAATTTACAAGTAAGACATGGTATACCAAATGCACGCCTTAACATAAAATAGGTAGACTTTGTCTACCTTACTATAAGAACAAAAATAAAATAAAACTCATTGCATATTTGTAGACCACTTTTTCCATGTCACCAATCTTGACTATTTCGGAATTCTTCTTCTTTGAAAATAACTTAGATGATTGTTGGTTGGTCCATCATGTTGGTAGCCCATTTTTCATAATGTGCTTGTAACACTTGAGGATCTAATAAAATATATTAATGTTAACAACCTGTCACCATGAAAAATAACCTTGTATTCAAGGTTGATAGAAGCAAAAAATGAAGAGTGCTGCAAAATTTTACAATGTGGCATCCTTTGGTGTATTTAATGGAATGGGTAGATAAATCTTCTTAAATTTGTAATGGATCGGGTAAAAGAGTTAATAGAACGGCATGAGGCAAAGTAGAGGTTTTTATTTCTTGGCATGTGAGACAATTATTAATGAAATCAATTGCATCTTTATGGAGTCCAAGCCAATAAAAATTAGTAGATATTCATTTAATAGTTTTGAGAATACCCTGATGAACGACAAGAGGTGAGGATAATATTAAAGCTTAAGAGTTTGTGAAGATAATATTATCGGTCTGGTGTTTGAAGGTGTTCGAAGATCACGGAAGCTTTTATGATCTGTGCGAATAATGAAAGTTGTCTAGTTATTTATAGGATTGGTAGGATCGATATACTTCATTTTAAAAAGTTTACCTAACGCATGGGACTTACGACTTCACTTAAAAGTGGCCCGTTAGTGGGTCTTATAACCTAACCCTATAGGCTAGGATGCCCAAGTGAGAGATCTAGGGTTGTATTATCACCTAAACATTTCCCTCAGAGGTCAGACTTACGACTTCTACTAGAAGTGCAGGGGGGTTTAATTGGGGGTTAGGAGTTAGGTCAATTTTACCTAAAATTTTTCCCTAATGTTGGGCCTACAACTTTCCTTTGAAACTTGTCAGGTAGTGGGTCTTACAACCAAGTTCTTATAAACAAGGCTGCCCATAAATTTTAAGTTTGATTATGTGTTGGTTGAATTGACACCAATGATTTGAGAAGTTTGACACTAGTTTTTTTTTCAGTATTTTACTATACTAGTGTTTTTACGGTAATATTTTTCTTCTTACTGTTTAGTAGCTTCTTTTTACTACCTGTGTACTAGTAGTTTTTTTTTACTATTAACATGCTCATTTTTCTATTTTAGCATTTAATCATATATATATTTATCAGTGATATTTAATGAGTTTCATTTATTCATTGCAGGAGCTCGTACAGAAGAGATATTGGAGAGCTTGTAGAGTGTTTTGTTCATTGGAGAGTTTCAATTTGTGTTGGGGAGTTTTGTATAAGATTTGGAGAATAAAGTACTTTTGAATTTGAAAGTTTGAAAGCTATTATGTATGGAGAGTTTGAGAACTTTTTGTTATGTTGGAGAGTCTTAGCATGTTGAGTTTGAAAACTATGTTGTTTGAGTAGAGATATTGTTGAAGAGTTTGTTGTTTGTAAAGTTTGCTTGAATTTATTGTTGGAGAGCTTGTGCATATACTAGATTAGTGAGAATTTTTATTTCTTGCAACATGTCTACAAGGATGAAATTGCAAAGAAAATTTTATCATAAAAATGTGAGTTGTTTTCCCAACAATCTTAATATATATATATATATATATATATATATATAATCATTGTGGATAATTTTAAACTCTTTAGCTTAGAAGGCAAAGAGAGCAACTCTTTCACTTTTTTTTTAAGATTAGAGATTATATTGACATTGCTCATCCACATTATAAAAAATATGATTTAGAAATATAATTCATAAAAACCTGATTTGAGAAGAAGAAAAAAATCTGATTTAATTTATAAAATTTTATTTGAAATTAGAATTTTTTTTAGAGATCTGTGTTTTTTTCCAAAATTCGCTTAAATACAGAATTTTTGAGGAAACTTCGGCAACCTTCCAGCGTCCCCTCCCCACCGAGGGAGAAATCGAGGTGGCACTTGCCATTTTTTTTTCCTAGCCGAACCTAAGGTCGAACAGCTTGAGGCCTTGTATTTGAAACCATCTCGACCGGACTTAATGTCAAGGTGCGAGGTCTTGTATTTTAAAACCATCTCGACCGGACTTAAAGTCGACTGTACAAGGTCTTGTAATTTAAAACCATCTCGACCGGACTTATAGTCGACGGAGCGAGGTCTTCATTAATTTTCTTGCTCATTTGATGCTCACATAAATATTTCATTGAACAAGATTACATAAAAAAATGTAAATTATGTAATCAGTTACTTACTTTCCTTTTCTTTTGCAAAATAAAACAAGTTTTTACAAATTACTTTAGCAAACAATTACTGAAGTAATTTTATTGCTTGGATTTACTGAAGTAAAGATATCAATTACTAAAGTAAATATAGTAAACAATCTAAAAGATATATTTACTGAAGTTAAAAAAAAAAAAAACATGATTTTAACTTTGTATCCATTAGACACTAAGCCATAAGCCATTATGTCAATTAAAGTAAAAGGTGTCAGTGGCAGAGAATTTATTATTTGCTTTGTTTTTTTGAGTCATAAAAGAATTTTGAATAAAATAAAAACAAAGGTTTTATCAATAAATTGTTTACTGAATTAGAATAAGGCGAAATAGATGATATAGGAATTAGATTATTATGCTTAGGAAATAGTGCATGTGTTAAGCTTTAATAGATATAAAGCCTGATTTAAAAAAGAAAAAATGGGATTTAAACGGAAAGAAGAGATGGCCAAGGTTCATGTGAGAGGTTGATTCGCATGAACATTCTAAAGAAGAAATTAATTGGAAGAAGACGAAGGCGGCCGGCTTGGGTTGCGGTGTCGGAAGTGGGTCAGAAATTGGAGTTTTGACGGAAGGTGCAGATTGTGCAAAGCCGATTGGCCGATACCTGTTGTGCAAATTCGGTTGGTTAGGTACTTGCAAACGGAACATATGAAGTGAGCGACCTCTTCGAACAGACAAGTTCGGTCGCGGATATTGTAGACAGCTAACGATATCACGAAAAAAAAAAGCAGATGATTTTCAGACAGTGTGAGAGCAGGGAATTGTGAGTCTCTTTTCTTTCATCATTCATTTTTTTATATTGATAGATTACTGAAAACAGTTGTAGCAATGAAAGGTTACATCTTTTGAGAATTAGTTAATTAAAGTGGGGCCGGATTGAGAGCGTAAAGAGATGCATCTCTTGGATTTTTTTTTTTTTTTTGTTAGTTAACAGTAATATACAAAATAAAATAATTGCATAAAACTCAGAAGCAGATTAAACATACAATAATGGAAATCTTGCAAAGACTGAATTTTGCTGCATTAGTGTTACCACTGATAGATTAAAAAAAGGAAAATGAATGTCATACAGCTTTCTAAATATAATAATTCTCTATCAACTATCAGTTCCAAGAAGCAGATTTAAATTTCAAGGTCATCCCAACCTTGAACATGTATTAGAGAATGTGCAAAAAGTTTTATGGTTGATTTAGCTAACCTTGCAAGAGAAGCTGAGCTTTGTTTCCCCGGGATATTGACCTTGAGCTTGAAGCAAGCCACCGAATGCAGGAAGGAAAGCACTGTGAGTAAACCCTTCACCGGCAATATAAGTAAGCTGTCCATTAGGAAACTGCAAATCCATGAATGACTGCAAAAGTTTCAAATTCATTAAGCGTGAAGCCACATATTAAGCTGTTTGAACAAGAATTTAAACAGCAATCTGTTTAGCGTAAGAAAGAACTTTTTAAAATGCCAAAACTTGATGCAGTAGAATAAAAATAAATAATTTCATGGGTGCCTAGACCTTATTAGCTTTGCCTTGCAAAATGATTAGAGAAACTTCTTAACCTCATAAGATCATTTCAAGATAATTGATTGCAATAGTAAGTAGCAAAAAGCGTAGTAAAGCATCACTATTCTAATTTCACATAAAATGAAAAACTTGCTAGTAATTAGAGCACCCAAGAATTGCTCTTTTCATGGAGTTTTTGAACATCATAAACCTATGAAGTATCAAGGACTAGCTTGAGAAGAAGACTCAAGTTACTGAATAGTAATTTCCCCGGACAAAAGAAGATTTCCAATGATAATTTTAATGATAAGAAAGCCAAACGTATTTTTCATAAGTAGAGAATTTTTTTAGCGAACTGTAGTCACAATAATTCAAAACAATGGAAGAAATTAAATGTGCACATGTCAAAGATTAAGACCATAAAAAAGGAAATTAAGTTCAAGCACGTAGTCATCTGGGTTATCTTATACATTAAAGATAAAGAAAAAAAGCAATACAAGGAAGTGGGCCTCAGGAAAAACCACAGTGATAAGAATTGGCTTGGGCAATCATGACCATGAGACAAATATGGTAAATGGCAATGATTTTTTTCTTTTTCATGCTCCTGTGCAAAACTTAAAGTTAAAGAGGTTGTATCATATCATGTTTATTTTTATTTTTTTTATTTTTTTTTCATGTTATTTTGTGTTTTACTTTATTTATATTTTAGCATGGAATCAAATCATGTTTATTTTTTATTCATTTAATGTTTTATTCCATTTGCTTCTGCCATCACTATCAGCTCTGCCTGCTCATCCATTAAGCACTGCACAGCTCTCCGCCTTCCACCCTATCTCCCTCCTCTGCCTCCCATAGCAACAACAGTGCATGGCCATGGCCAACATCATCTCTATCTCCATCATCACCACAGGCTTCCATCCAACCAAACTCCATCTCCGCAGACTGAGAATTAATTCCATCCACGTCAAGTACTCCATCATCCGTAATGACTCCATTTCTATGGTCGATACCACTATCATCGACCTCCTCTTCCAATCCATCATCTTTAAATCTACCTTCAGTTAGAAAACAGCCTCACCCTCGTCATCACCACATGCTCCATTACTTCTATTAGGCTCTACCATCGGGCTCTACCGCCGCCATGTCATCAGTGCATGCAAGTGAGAAGAACAAAGTTGCAACAAAGAATAGAATTTGAGTGAATCTAGATTTAAGGTGTGGATGAAAACAACTTAAGAAAATTATTTTATTATATAGTTAATCAGTTTTTAAGTGAAAAAACAAAATCAATTTACTTTAAAAAAAAGGTAAAACAACTTAACAAACATTTTTAAATTTATTTTATTAAAATTAAAAAAAAAAAGTTATTCAAGCAGGCCATAAGTCTATTATATTTTCTTTCTAGTAGTTAGTTCCAGTTTTGTATAAGTATGAAAGGAATCTAGTGTGATTTCCAAAATGCAAAGATAAATAAGACCAAGATTAACTAAGAGGATGCAAAGTTCGATTCAAACTACTAGATAAGCATAAAATAAAAAACATTAAAACAAAATATATAGGACAAAATGTTGGCAGAATATTCTTAATATAAATACTTACACAAGCAAGTGGATTGAGACAGAGCATTGACATTAAGAGCCATCTCCTATGTTTTGACCATAATGCTGGGCATAAAGAATGCAGTCCATTCTGCTAATTTCAAGATTGAACAATAAGGAAACTCACAAAGGCAAATCCACTATATGCATGAAAAAAAGAACATCAGCGAGTAAATTTATAAGAAAATCCAGTAAACACAAGTGCGGTGTAAAATAAATCTAGAATTTCAAAGCCAAGGAACAATGCAGCATAAAACATGTGTAGTGCTTAACAATTGAACTGTATGCTTAATTTAATTATTTTTAAACAATTAGGTAGGGTAACAGAGTTAGTGGCTATCATTCAAAAGTGTAAATATATTATAAATAAAAGAAGACACCTTTTTTGAGAAACAAATAGAACATGGATACCTGAATAAAATAAGAACCTGATTGTAAATGCTATGCATTTATAAAGATGATTTATATCACCAGATATGACCTAATAGGCAAACCATATTATAACTTTTAGAAAATAGAATAAACCAATCAATCTACATGACGAGAAGAACTCTGTGGAATGGTCTCTTGCTTTGAGATTTTAGATTTAATTTCTCACCATTGCATCCAAAGAAAGTAATACTGTCATTGTCAGGCCTCAAGTCTTGGATAAGAAAAGCGGAGGGTTGCGTTAGATAGTCGACAGCCAGCATAAAACTTGTCAAATAATCATGCCATGAATCATAAAAAAAACTGTGTTAATGCTAGGGCATCCCCTGGAAGCGAGACGTTGTATAGCCCGAATACAGCGACAAGTGCGCAAGGGCCGCTGCACCTGCGTCTGGGTGCAGTGTTAAATAGGCTAGGGTTCTCACATTAAGGACTGATGTGGGCAAAGAAGCTAGTTCATGAAACTAAAATTAGGATAAGAACTTAGAACATAGGTTCCCTTACAGGAAAATTAATGGAATAATAGATATTATGATTCAAAGAAAGATAAATATATTGTGCATTCAAGAAACTAAATGGGTTGGGGAGAAGGCTATGTTGATTGATAGTCTAGGATTTAAATTATGGTATTTAAGTAGGAGTCGTACTGGAAATGGTGATTTGATTATTGATAAGAGTTTGAATGATAATGTTATAAAAAAATGGAAATAAAATTATAGCTTTAAAGATTATTATTGAAATTAAGATTATTAATATTATCAGTGCTTATGCTCCTCAAGTAAGTTTGGATATGAGTTCAAAATTAAAATTTTGTAATGACTTAGAAGAATTAATACAAAAAATACCTCTTGAAGAAAGAATTTTTATTAGAGAAAATTAAAATGAACATATTGGTAGAGAGGTATATGATTTTAAAAGCATTAATGTTGGCCATGAATTTAGAATGACAAATAAAGGTGGTAAGACTATATCATATTTTTATTTCTTATAATTTTTTAATTGTTAATATTTTATTAAAGAAAAGATATGAGCACCTCATCACTTATAAAAATGAATATAATAAAACTCAAATTAATTATTTTCTTATAGTAAAATTAGATCATTTAGAAATGCAAAGATTGTAAAGTTATTCCGAGCAAAAATTTATGTACCCAACATCGATTATTAGTTTTGGACATTAAGATAAAGGGGCAGAAAATAAGAAATAGAGCAAAACGATATTATAGATTTAAATGGGGTCATTTAAAGAATATTAACAAAAATATTTTTGAGAGTAAGATTTTAGATTTTGTCTGTGCATGAGGATTCTAATATTATGTGAAAAAAATGGCTAGTGATACTAAAAATATAGCAAAATATGTGCTTGGAGTATCAAAGGGAAAAACCCCTAATAGTAAAAATAATTGGAGGTTAAATCCAAATGTGTAATAAAAGATTAAAAATAAGAAGATTTATAATAAAAATTGGTTTATATGTAAAAATTCTAATAATTAAGAAGGATATAAAGAGGCGCATAAAAAATCTAAGAAAGCAATATGTGATGCAAATATTTTATCTTTTAATGATTTATATAATAAATTAGATACTAAGAGGGAGAAAGATAAAGATAAGAATAGTAACGATTTAGTTTAAGTGAAGTGTATTAAGGATGAATATCAAAAAGTACTTTTCTTAGAGATGATCTTCAACAAAGGTGGATGAAATATTTTGTTTAACTTTTTAATGAAAATTGTGAAAATACGATTGGTTTTAATGACATTAGCACCCTAAATAAAAATAAAAATTTCTATTTTTATCGACGTATTAGTAAAACCAAGAGAGGCTTTAAAGAAAATAAAGTATAAAAAAGCTGTTGAACCTAATGATATTCCAATAGAAGTGTGGAAATGCTTAGGAGATGAAAGAATTTCTTGGCTTATTAAACTTTTAATACTGTTTTGAAGACAAAAAAGATGTCAAATGAGTGGAGAATGAGTGTATTAATTCCTATTTTTTAGAATAAAAGTGATGCACAAGATTATGCGAAATACAAAGGAATTAAGTTAATGTGTCATACTTTAAAGGTTTTCGCCAGAGTAGATCTGAACTGAATATATGGAGTGTAATTTTAGTAGTAATAGACATAGTAAGGGGATTGTGACTTTAGGCGATCAAGTCATTAATAAGAGTACACGTTTTAGATATCTTGGATCTATTGTTCAGAGTAAATGTGAAATAGATTGGGATATTATCAACATAATTTATGTTGGATGGTTGAAGTGGAGAACTGCATCAGGTTTGTTGTGTGATAGAAAAGTCCCCCTCAAATTTAAGAAAAAATTCTATAAGATGGTGGTGAGACCTGCAATGCTTTATGGTGCCGAATTTGGCCATTAAAAGAGAAGCATAATACTAAGTTAAGTGTTGCAAAGATGATGATGCTCAGGTGGATGAGTGGCTTTACCCTTAGAGATAGGATACGAAATGAGCATATACGTGAAAAGGTTGGAATAGCTACAGTGGAAGATAAGATTAGAGAGAGTCACCTTAGATGGTTTGGTCACATAAAACGACAGCCTTCCGATGACCCGGTTAGGAAAGTAGAGGTAATATATTTGACTTATATTAAGAAAAGTAGAGGTAGACCAAAAAATAATTGGTTAGAAAATTTTAGAAATCATCTTTCTTTATTAGATTTAAACGAGAATTTGACTTTTAAAATGACACAATGAAAAAAAAAAAAGGTTCATGTTGCCGACTCCAAATAGTGGGACATAGGCTTGATGTTGTTGTTGTTGTATCCAAAGAAAGTAATACTTAGGAAAGAATACGTGATTGATTGAATATAATCTCCAGGTTGGGAACAATTTTTATGCAACATCAAGATACTCTGATCGTTGATCAAACATGTTTAAAACTTACGCAAATGAATTGCCCTAGTAGTGCAACACAACATTTCTTATTTTCCATTTATTTTACCAATGGAATATATTTGATGCATAACCCCGCTTTTTAATTAATAAATAAAACCAATTCTGATGTTGAAAGAGCACATCTCTATTAGGTTATTGAACACACTAGCAAGACATCATTTCTCTCAAAAGCCTAATAGGCTGATACTTTGACAAATCATCGTGCTATTTTATGAAATTGTATTTCCAGCCATTTCTGGCAATGCAGATCAAGATAATATGTCCCCAACTGTCTGGGTGGGAATTTATGATCAGTCCAATAGAATGGAAAAATGACATTCCATTCATGTTGATCATAGAAATATACATATATCTACAGATCAAAATGCTAATTTGAACGAGCCTATATTTTTGTGTATAAACAAATATCATGAACATAATGGATGATCCTTTATGCCTAGTAATTAAAGGCACAATCTCCAATATGTTTGTTTTCTAATTCTGTTTTAAAGATCAACATTTGACCCACAACAAGTCCCTCAGCCAAAGCCACAAAAAAGGATAAAAAGCAAATGCATCACAGTACGGAATAAAATATGATACTAAAACTAAGAAAAGATAAACCGCAGTCCAAGTGCATGCTGGTGGATTTTTATCCAGGTCACTAAGTCCCCAAAAGCAAACCCATAGTCACTGTTTCATTCCTACAAGCTATGTTTGGCACACTTGAAATCCCAAATTAACTTTCTTTAGGCTTCATTTGGAAAACTGTTCAGGTAGAAAAAGCAGTATTGCATTTAGAGAAGCATGCAAAGCACACGCCATTATTTTGGTTCATAAGTGACTACAATTAGCAACACTTCAACCTTAAAAGGAGTTAGTAACCAGAAAAAAAAAATCCTTTTTATGTGATTAGTGAAATCAATCAAGAATGTATTTGCTGCAGAAATATCCGAACAAAAAGCCACGGTAAGTCTTCACAAACAAGATCTTAACTTTATGTCACAACTCAGAATAAGCAAGCACCCTCCCCATCTAGGGGTGCAAACGAGTCGAGTCGAGCTTGAGTCGGGGGGTGTTCGAGTCTGTTGACTGTATAACAAAAAAAAGAGAAAATCAAAATCAACGTACCTGCTCTGCCCTCATCCCGCACGTCGCACGCCGTAGCCACGTCGTTCGCACGTCGAGGCCATGCCTCGCGTCATTTCTCCCCACGATCGCCGCACGACTCATTTTGAGTCGTTAAAAGGCTCGAGGCAACGAGGCCTTTGGCCTCTTCTCTCTGCTATTCCCGATCTCTCCCGCCTCGATCTCTTTGCTCTCTGATCCCCGCTCCCATTCTCTCGTTCGACCACGCTCTGACGACGACGTTCCCATATAGTCGATCGGAAGCGACGACACCTTGGATCGGAAACAACCGCAAGAGCTCACTGGCTTTGGAGCTTCGACGACTCTCCCTTCCAGTCGGATCGGACATTATGACGTTTTGATCAAAAGTAAGAACAGGAGCTGCTTGCTATGGAGATGACTTTCTCCCTCACGTCGCTTCTTCGGCTCCTTGTTGTGCGACTTCGTTCCTTCTCCAACTTCCCTTCCCGTCGGGGTTGAAAGCTACAACATTTTGATCGGAGGGAATAACGGGAGCTCACTGCCTCCTGTGCTTCCATTCGACTTCGCTCCTCTCGACGACTTTCCCTTCCTATCTCATCACAAGCAAAACGGGAGTCGCTGGCCGTGAGGTTAACTTTCACCCCCTCTCACGCGCTGCCAT